TCTTCTTAAATGAAGTATGCAATTGTTTTTGCTCACCCATAAAAATATTTTTGCAGCAAAAACTTCTGCATATTTTGAAACTGAGTTATTCAGCTTAATCTTGCATGAAAACTAACATGAATACAAGGAGATAAGTAGATATGGAAAACACCAAATTAAACAGCTTGCAAACATATAAAAACATTAATATTAGCTTCATACATGCAAATGTGCCCTGTGCTGGCTGGTAATTGACATTCGAATTTTCTTTAGTTGAGTGGTTTTAGGATCTCACTCTTAATGTATGAGCAACACCATTTTAAACATTGGCACAAGATGTAAAGCATAATATCCATCTATAGGCTTCTGTAGTGAGCAACAGAAAAATATACTACAGAGTAATTCTTTTTCTAACTACCCCCAAACAAAATTCAGATTGTGTTTTTGCTAGAAGTCAAATTTCCGTATTTTATAATCCAGAGCAATGGTTTCAAAGTGTGGCCTCTAGACTAGCAGCAGGCAGTGTCACCTGGGAACTTGTTAGAAACATCTGGCAGAAATGCAAATACTTGGGATACAGATTTGTACAATCAGAAACTCTGGGAGTGAGGTCCAGAAAACTGCATTCTCCCAAGGCTTCTAAGTGATTTGGTGCCTGTTGAAGGATTGGCTGAGGACTATGGAAGGCTAAATCTATAGGTTAAAGTTCTCAGTGCCCGTGACAGGAAATATGAGGCTTGCTCCATCCCTCACTGTTTCTCCAATCCAACTTAGTGGGTAAACTACAGATGCAAGAGATGCTCCAAAACAATGAAAGACTGTGACAGCTGCTCAAGGCATCATCTGAAGAGACACTACAAAGATGTTATTGTCAGATGTTTCTCTGAATTCCCTTTGTATTGTGAGTCTCCACTTCCTTCTGTCCACTGCCAGTTCCAAAGTGGTTCTGTTGCTTTTTCACCTTTGTGAATTCTAAGCATAGCAACATTTTTGAAGATAATGCAAGTAATAACTGTGCATTTTTATAGTGCTCTGTCCTTTTAAAGACTTTTATGCAGATCATGTTGTTTTATCTTCACAACTCTCCTATAAAGGTTAACCTACTGGGAAATGTGGATGTCGATTTAGAAACCTCTAATAAAGTCCCCAAATTAACAACCACTTTTAGAGAACAGACTATATGAGGCAGTTTTATGGAAAATTATTTCTAACACAACTTTGCAAGCTATCCAAAGACAGTAATTGAAGAATGTCGAAAATGTATTAAACACATGCAACAAAATTATATTAAAGTGAAACACTGTTTCATAAAGTATGTTTAATCCTATGTAAATTTAACACAGTGCTATTTATTACAAAAACTGATGCTATTGTAAGAGAAGATCCCTTATTCACAGTAACAAGGGAGGAAGGAAGGGAATGACTTCAAAAATTCCTGCTCTAAAAAGAAGTCTTTATTTTCCTTCCATATTTCCACATGAGATCTGAGCAAAACCTCTATTTATTTTCCTAAGAAACATAAAGTTACATTCAAATTTTGGGGAATTCAACAGGACTTGTAAAATCTAAACATAAGCATTATTTATAACCCAAAAAAGGGGTATCAATAAAATTCCTTCGTTCTTGTAGATTTCTCTTGTTTCAGCTGATTAGCTCCTTACTTGCTAGGCAGTTTCTGTGGGACTCAAGCATCTCAACTACAATGGCCTTTATGAAGTCCTCAGGGCTCATGTCATATACCAAGGTCATGTCTTACTGAATCCATAGGGCAGCATTGGTTTGTAGGAAGGCATAATTTTATGATCACTCATGGGGCAGATGATCTTCCATACAGTATTCTTTGTTGGTGAGTGGACTTATTAGTAAGACTCAGCACTGGTCCGGGCTCTGCCTGATGTTGTACACTTACCAAAGTTATATTTACCTGCTTCATTGGCAAATCACAGGAGCTCACCATAAGATGTACACATCACCAGGCCTTCAAAACAGCATTTATATCACAATCTACTGGCTATGAAAGAGTCTATCCCAGATCATCAGATAAATCACCTGAATTTACAGAGGCTGGCCTGGGGCATTATCTATCTGGGGTCCAGAACTTCTGAACAAAAGGGCAGAAAATATAAGTGAGCCAGCCGTGAGGCTTGTTCATCAGTGCCCCGGCCTTCCTGTTAGATCATAACACTGCTCTCAGGTTAGCTCAGGAGCAGGCCTGGGGAGCCCTGGGATTTTTCAGAATAGTGGAAAAGTAAACACCTCAATTTAAAATCATCCTCGGCGTGGCCTCAAGTTATATCTGGTTCCTTTAACCTGGGACACTATTTTCTTCTACAGAAATGAAAGTCTTTTCAGGCAATCCATTCCAATCAAACTTTGTGTTATCACCCTGAAAAGTTTGTTTCAATAAGAGAAGCCAACACTTCAGGAGATGTGTGTGATTTCTATGTATCTGAACTGCTATTTGTCCTGCTCATCCTAATGCTGTGCAAACTTTCCCTTTCCTGGAACCTTGTAAAGCAAGGTATACTAGCCATTAAAAACATCCATGTCAAAACAGGACATCTTCAGACTATGAATCTTCAATCATAGTGGCTTAAGACAGATCCTGGCGTTCAATGCCATATTTAACTATGCTCATCCATACTCAATAGGTTTCCACTGAAATATTTTTGTGATGAATCAAATTCCTAGCAATTAAAGGTTAATTAAAGACAATCATTAAACAAATATTGTCTTAATTTTGTATAATAGAATGTAAAGGGAATAACTCCAAGTACTCTTGCCATTTAGCCAAGTCTTAATCTTTGTCAAATTGCCTTAACACTTTACATTTTACATTTAACTAATTGATGAACAGTTTCCTGTTGCACCTTTGTCATTTTTCATGATTTGGCTTTTTCCATAGATCTTTCATGTAGGTTTGCAGCTGATGTGCATATGCATTCCTCACCAGTGCATTTCTAGAACTTTCAAAGCTTACAATTTTTGTTTTGTACATTTTCTTTTCACCTGTTTCTGCCTCTGGGTTTGTTGCCTATTTGTCAAAACAAAAAAAACATAATCAATTAGAAAAAAATTCGGAAGCCAAGAAAGTAAAATAGGACCTGATGGAATTAGAAATAAAGAAGCAGAGAGGATAAATTTTCAGTTATAAGCTACTAGTGAAGTAAAACTCTAGGAACAAAGTTGAGTAAGATGGCCACCTGCCTGTTTCAAGTATTCTCAAAGTCACAGAAAATACCAGTCAACCTGAAGATGCTCCATTGATAACTGTGGCAACCTCTTCACCCATCATGGCAACTTATCTGCCACAGCTAGAGTCTCGAAGCCAAGAGCTCAAGTTCTTTTTGAGGACCAAGTAATTCCAAAACTTTAAAGACACTACCAGAAATACAAAAACATACACTGAGTCAAATATGATGGTTCTGAAAATGAACCACACGCCATATGCTCCACACAACAAAGGCACTAATGTTTTTCCAGATGCATATATCATGGCTTCCAAAACCATTTCCAAGAGGCTTAAATGCAAGAAGAATGGCCCATCTCTGGTAGCTATTTATATTGAATGTTGGTCCATTTTTTCAGTCACTTCTGATTAGCTTTGACCTGAAATGTTGGGTTGCAGATCTTTAGAAAGGTAGATTTTTGGATTGAAGAAGTAGAGGAATGCTTTATAGGTTGTTTTTAACCTGATTATTAATTTAATGGGCTGAAATAAATGTTCAAATATCAACTATTTGGCAAATACAAATAAAAGCTAATCATACTCTTTCATGTGTGTATCTAATATAAAATATTAATATGTATGTGTTGGTTACACTGTGCAATGGCATATTTGATATGAGTATATGCACACCTTTAAGATTTGGTCAGGCCTTCAAAGCTTATCTCTTCTCCCTGGGTCTCAAAAAGCAGAGCCTCTATTGTCTCCAAGAGTAAGTATTGAAAGCACATGTTAATGGTCCATGACACTGGAGCATCATCAAGGAGGTTTTGGTGACTGATGCTCTTGAAGCGGTTGCTTAATGTCCCTCTCCCCTGCATTTGGATCATATGAGAACTGTCAAGTTTAAAAAGCTATACAAGCACGCCTTTCTTCTTTTCTACTGTAATGCACCAGTAAATTCTTCATTCTTTATGGTTTATTAGTACTTTTCAAAAGGAAAGAACAGACTGCTGCCAAACCTGGCTATGGAATCAGATGGGGGTGGGAGTGGGCTTTGTAATTCATAGAAAATAGAAATTCCCATTGTCTGGAATGTGGTGTCGGTGAGACTTTGTTTTCATAATCACAGCACACAGTAAGAAGTTTCCATATGTAAAGAGAGTAATTATGTTTGCACAAGTACATCACCATTTTAGAGATGCACAAAAAGACAGGCTGAGAAAGTAAAAGAAAAACAACTTCTTTGTTGCATATGAATCCTTTCTTATTTTTCACTATATACATGCAATTTTCCACATATAGAGTCACCTATTATTCAAACCTAAGCAGAAGAAAGGTAGTCTGGGATTATCATCCCCTTCTCCTTCCACTCCCCCAGTTGTTGGCAGACCTAAATTAGTGAATATTCTTATAAGTTGGTTTACTGATGTGAACAGTTTTTTAGACCTTTAAAAGGAGCTTCCTTTTAAAATGCAAAGATGACAATCACTGTTTCATTAAGAAGTCCACATGCAGCCTGTTACCTGCTTAAGGAAAACATTTCCTTTGAGTCTAAATCAAGCTAGTAAATTTAAGACACCTGGGAGTGTTGGGTGCACTGAACTTTTGGCAGAAGTCCCGAACTAAAAGAGCTAATGCATTATTTTGCTTTGTTTCTTTGTAAGAAAAAAACAGTCTGCTGCCAAACCCAGCTCAGGAATTACATGGGGAGGGGAGAAATTTGCAGCCCATTGATAAAGCCCAATACAGATAATATTAGAAGAATTTTCCCTCCTATGAGCATTCCCTTTAGCCATAGTGAAATGCCCGAAGAGAAGGGTGTTGTGGTTAGTTCTGCCTTGGTTGTTCTTACCCGGATAGAGGTCAGGCCCAGGCCCGGGAGAGCATCCCACGTTGCCATCAGCAGCAGTGTCTCTTGGAGAAGTGGCTGGCTGCAAGGGCTGCACAGTGAGGCAATCTGAGAGCAGGTCTGGATGGAGCTCAGTGCTGGACCGAAGCTGAGAGAAGGAGAAAACAAGAGAGATGGAGAAAGAAAGCTGATCCTTGGAATACTTGCCTGGCAAGTTCTCATGCCCTAAGGTTCAATGCAATTCAATCCACAAATATTTATCAAGCAGCCACTATGGGGAAGGCACGAGCTTTACACAGTGTCAATAAAAGGGCTGGTTTGCCAATACTAATAACACCTGGCAGGTGCTCCAGGAAAGACGTGGCTAGAGGCAAGCAGAGCTGACTTCAGTCCTCAATATTTCCACTTCTGGGAACCCAACTTCCTATTGTATTTCCATTTATTTGTGCTGTATCTTATCAGAACTTGTAGTGATAACAAAAACAAACTCAAGTAGGTTTACCCCATATTGAAAAGTGCTTTTAAAATAGAGAGATACTGTCATGGAATATCTGGAGATAATGAAGAAATATCCATTGAGATTTGACTTCTGCAGATTTTACAGGAAAGGAAAGTACTCAAGTTAAACTTTAAAATATTATGGAGCATGATTAAAAGAAAAACTGATATCATTAACAGCAACAAAACCCAGTTAGAAGTTACATTATAACAACATGGATTTGAAGTTAATCACATGTAAGAAAATTAATAATTCTTTTCTTATATCTTTATTTATTTTTTATTTTATGTGGTGCTGAGGATCGAACCCAGTGCCTCACTCATGCAAGGCAAGTGATGTACCTCTGAGCCACAACCCCAGCCTGAATAATCTTCATACATTAAAGAGTCACATGAAAAACCAAACCATAAAAATGTTGAAGTATAGGAAAAACTTTTATGAGTAAAAATTTTTTAAATGTAATTTGAATGGGAAAGGTTATAATGGAAGATTTAGTGACATAAAAATATTAACCTGCTTGTCCAAAAACATAATACTTGTGAGGCGTGGTGGCACACATCTGTAATTCCAGTGACTTGGGAGGCTAAGACAGAAGGACTGCAAGTTTGAGACCATCCTCAACAACTTAGTGAGGCCCTAAGTAACTTAGCAAGACCCTGTCTCTAAATAAAAAATAAAAGGACTAGGAATGTGGCCTCTGGGTTTAATCCCTGGTACCAAAAAAGGAAAACAGGAAAAAAACCTTAAGAATGCTCTATAAAGTATTTGTTACCAATATTGCAAATGGTTATCATCTTTGGTAATTTTTTTAAGTTCAAATTGACTTTATAAAGACAACACTGAGGGGTTGGGGTTGTGGCTCAGGGGTAGAGTGCTCACCTAGCATGTGTGAGGTGCTGGGTTCGATCCTCAGCACCACGTAAAAATAAATTTAAAAAAATAAAGGTATTTAAAAAAAAGACAATACTGAATCTTTAGATACAGGGCTGGGAGATACTTATTCATATTTGACAGATATGCACTAAGCATCCCATATTTTGGGAGATGACAGGAATACTTAGTGCCTTTAAGGAACGAATGTTCTTTATGCAGAAGCAGATGATGTACAAATACAGTATACACAACATCAGACAAGGGCAAATGCTATGAAGAAGCATAATGTAGAGAAAGCAGATGGCAAGTAAGGATGAGGGATGGTGAGTTTAGACAGGGGACCAGGGAAAGCCTCTTGAAGATGGCATTGGTTAAAAGCTTTGAAAGAAGTGAGGGAACAAGTCCTGCAGCCAGGGGGGGATGAGCATGCCTCCCAGCTGTGTGCTTGGACAATCCCCAGGCAGTAAGGCCTATGCAGAATAAGACTGGGGACTGAGAGAAGCAAGATGACACAGGGACTGGAAAGGGACCACAGGGAGAGGTTACGTAAAGTCTTGACATCAACAGAAAATGCTTGAAAAGAGAAATGAATAATAAGGAACATTGAAATGTTCAGCATACTTGCAAAGCAGTTCAAAGTTAAAACTTTTTTTATTTATCAAATTATCAAAAACTTTAAAAAGGAAATGGTGGTAGTGAAGTTACAGGGAGAGGCATTCTTACATATTGTTGGCGGGGGTGTTTATATAAACTTTCTAGATGGCCTCAGGGAATACTTTTTCAAGACCCATAATAGAAATAAATTGATTCTAGAATCTCTAATTACATATAGCAATGCCAAATTAGGAAATGCTATTTTAAAGTCTACAATTAGAGCATATAAATACTCTTACATCTATTTGATGCATTTTGTACCTATTAAAGTGATGTTCACAAAGATAAAAGGAAAACACAAAGTGCTATGCACAAAATGTTAATGATTACATAAAAACACAAAGATAAATACAGAAGGAAATGTAATCCTATATTAAAACTGATATTTGTTCTTAGCCACAATGTTATGAATTTATTGCCTCTGCTTCCCCCCACCCCCATGCTTTCCCTCTGCTTTCAACTCTATATTCCAATGACATGCTAGAGCTGGCATGTATCAACTGAAGAATGCCAACTGTGTACATCTTTCCCAAAATTTCCCTGCAGTAACATCATATTGATAGCTTGAAATTGTTCACAATGAAAATATTTACATCGTAGAAATTGGCAATTGCTACAAACTGGGACTTTTTTTTATTGGACCTGGTTAATAAAAATTATCAGAACATGTTGCTGATGACTATGAACTGTAATCTGATCATAAAGAAAAAGATATACAGCTATGGTTTGGATGTGGTTTCTTTCAAAGGTTCATGTGTTAGAAGCTTGGTCCCCAGTGTGGCAATGGGACCATTAAGAGATGGGGTCTGGAGGGAGTTCGTTAAGTCACTGAAGGTGTTGCTTTCAGAGAGAATTAAGGTAGTTCTCCTGGGACCTTGAGTTAGTTGTTATAAGACAACATGCCTAACCCCAGAATCTCTCTGGCTTTCTGTCTCATCACATGATCTTTCCTCCTAGTACGTTATTCCCATCATGACATCATCCACCAGGTGATGAACCACAGGGCCCTTGCCAGTCATGCTGTTTTGGACTTTCAGCCTCCAAAACATGAGCTAAATAAGTCTCTTTTATTACAAAGAACCTAGTCTCAGGTATTTTATTATAGCAATGGAAAATGGACACAAACACAAACTGATATTTAGAAAGCAATATTTCTTGGATCTTAAAAAATTCCATGAAGAGACAAACATATGTCCAGGTCTTAGTTCAAGAATATGAAAATGGCATAGTGACCCTAAGTACAAGGAAGGCACATTTAACACATGTAGCAAATGAGACAATTATAATTTTCTCAGTTTTGGCACATTGAACTCTCTGACCACGACTGTCTGAGTTAATGTCTAACACTCTCCAGGGCCTTTGGAAGGTATGTTTGTTATTTCGGTACTAACCTAACACATGCCACTTAAGAAAAAATAGAAAAAAAAAATCAAGGCTTAGCATGAGTTCTGGTGGTCACATTTAATTTATCTTCCCCATCATTAAAATGTGATCTGGGGTCCACATGTTCTACTAAGGGCAGACATGAACCCTTCTCTGCTTTATATTACCAGCCACTCTAGGGTTTTATAGTTATCAGTACCAATGAGGTCTTTCCAAGGAATTTCACGGCCATGGTTAATCCTGGCGTCAAAGGCAGGCAATTCTTCCTTAGCTTCAACAAGTATTCACATTTTCCAAGAGTGTGATTCCATATGACTTTGTGGTGAGAGTTAATTTGGTTTTCTCTGGGATTAGACATGGTTCTAGAAAGTGCTTCTTAAATTGAACAAGCCTTGAGGACTTTATGCAGAATTTCCCAAAGAGGGCCATATGCACAGATATGATATGTAAGTTTAGTATTCCTCCAAGAATACTGGACCAGAAAAGAGCCTTCCAGATAATTTTAGGGTCTTAAATATTATTTAGTCTAGGAATTATAAAATGGGTGAGGCAAGAGGCATATAGACAAAATTTCTTAGAAGAAAAGTTATTTATTTGGAATAAACTAGTTACATAAAACAATTTACACAACTATTTACACAAAACAATCCCATATTGTATTTTTCAATATCTTCTTAGCTGCTAGGGATACATGAAGACTACTGAGGGCAATTTTTCAATGGCACAATGGGTCTCTAATTATAGTTCTGGCATGAACTACAGAATCACTGTGGAGCATTTCCAAGTTCCCTGGTGGTAATGATACCATTGGTCTGCAGATCACACTTTTAGAACGATTGGTCTCCAGAGACCTTGCACCTAATAGAAGAAAATTTAGGCCTAACTCTCCATCATGTCGGCATAGGAACTGACTTCCTCAACAAGACTCCTAAAGCCCAAATAGCAAAATCAAGAATGAATAAATGGGATAGATTCAAACCAAAAAACTTCTTCATAGCAAAGGAAACAATCAAGAACATGAAGAGAGTGCCTACAGAATGGGAGAAAATCTTTGCCACTGACATCTCAGAGCATTAATCTCCAGGATACATAAAGAACTCAAAAACTTAACACCAAAAAAACCCCACAAATAACCCAATCAATAAATGGGCAAAGGAACTGAATAGCCACTTCTCAGAAGAAATACGAATGACCAACAAATATATGAAAAAAAGTTCAACATCTCTAGCAATTACAGAAATGCAAATTAAAACTACACTGATATTCTATCTCACTCCAGTCAGAACGGCAATTATCAAGAATACAAGTAACAATAAATGTTGGTGAGGATGTGGGGGAAAGGGTTCACTCATACACTGCTGGTGGGAATGCAAATTGGTGCAACCACTCTGGAAAAGAATATAGATATTTCTCAGTAAAATTGAAATGGAACCACCATTTGATGCAGTTATCCCACTCCTCAGTATATATACCCAAAGGTTTTAAAATCAGCATACTGTAGTGACAGAGCTACATCAATGTTTATAGCAACTAAAGTCACAACAGCTAAGCTATGAAACCAATCTAGGTGCCCTTCATCAAATGAATGAATAAAGAAAATGGTATATATATATATATATATATATATATATATATATATATATATATACACACACACACACACACACACATATACACACACATATATATATACACACACATACACAATGAAATATTAATGTCATAAAAAAGAAATTATG